TACACTTGTTTTTTTTTTTTTTGTGTTCATACTTTGAGATATCATGTATGGTATAGATATATAAATTATAAATAAGCATGCCCTTTTCTTCTGCGGCCTTCCTGTTCATATATATTGCTCATTTGCTATAGGTGAAGGGGAGTGTTTTTACCTTTTAATTAATTTCCGCGTCTTGTTGTAAGAAAGCATAGTATTTCTCAGGTGCATATATAAATAGAAAGTTTAGTTTGTAATAATTTTTGTTTACTTTGTTCATGTTGATAATAGTGTATTGTAGTGGGTTTTAGTCCCACATTGCTTGGGAGAACAAACCTCACACTCCTCTACTTGTATAAATATATGTGCACACTCAATATTCAATTCAAGGGAAATTTACCCAAGATTCTCTCTCTCTCTTACTTTAACATGGTATCAGAGCTAGGGCTATTTCCCTTTCAATAAAATTTTTAACGCTTTTGCGTTCTTTTGCCAAATCTTGGCCTTATTGCTTTGCAGCCGTTTAATGTTTTATTTTTTTTATTTTTATTTTTAATTATTTGGCGTTCATCTGCCAGATATTTTGGCCTTGTCGTTTTGCGGCCTCTTAACGCGTTTCGCGTTCTCGTTTAACCTTCGGGTTCTATTTTAAACCTTCGGGTTTCATTCTAACCTTCGGGTTCTATTTTAAACCTTCGGGTTTCATTCTAACCTTCGGGTTCTATTTTAAACCTTCGGGTTTCATTCTAACCTTCGGGTTCTATTTTAAACCTTCGGGTTTCATTCTAACCTTCGGGTTCTATTTTAACGGCATTGTCGTTTCAAGACCGTCTCTCGGTCTCAAATTAACGGCATCGTCGTTTCAAGCCGTCTCTCGGCCTCAAACGAACGACATTAGTAACAGCATCTCGACATCTTAACGTCTCAAGATTGCTGTTATGGCTCCTTCAGAGAAGATTCCCAAACCACCTTTGCCCCTCAATGATCAAAGTGACTGGGCAGGGTGGTCCACCTGTCAGTCAATTTGTTAGTGCCCCACGTTCTGTACACTATGCTGTCTTATTACGGATTCTTCGGTACCTCCGGGGTACTAGCACTCGCTCACTTTTGTTTCCTGCTACATCTAAGTTAGAGCTTTGTGCATATTCTGATGCTGATTGGGCTGGTGATCCAACTACCAGAAAGTCTACCACAGGTTATTGTATATTTCTTGGTGATTCCCTTATTTCCTGGCGAAGTAAGAAACAAGATGTTATTGCTCTTTCCAGTACTGAGGCAGAGTATCGTGCAATGTCCACAACAGCTAAAGAGATTATTCATCTTCGTCGCCTTCTCAGTGATTTCGGTATTTCTGTTACGACTCCTACTCCTCTCTACTGTGATAATAAGAGTGCCATCCAGATTGCTAATAATCCAGTATTTCATGAAAGGACCAAACATATTGAGATCGACGCTCATTTTGTCCGTCACCAAGTTATCAAGGACAAGACAATTCTACTTCCTCATGTTTCATCCGCTGACGAGCTTGCAGATTTCTTCACAAAGGCCTTACCTGTTCATCGGTTCCAGTTTCTTGTACGCAAACTCACTTTGTTTGATCCAACATGAGTTTGAAGGGGGCTGTTGATAATAGTGTATTGTAGTGGGTTTTAGTCCCACATTGCTTGGGAGAACAAACCTCACACTCCTCTACTTGTATAAATATATGTGCACACTCAATATTCAATTCAAGGGAAATTTACCCAAGATTCTCTCTCTCTCTCTCTTACTTTAACAGTTCAGAAGAGGAAAATCGAGGAAATTAAAGGATGGGTGTTTTCAGGGCGCATACCCTTAAGAAAGTAGGTGTTTTTAATTCGGTCGCTTTCACGTCGATGTTGTACCTATTTTCCTCTCATTAGCAAGGAATAACCCGAATTCAAACTTAAAAACAATTTTTTTTTTCTAATTTAGATTGGACTTTTGCAATATAATTCCCATCAACTGCAGAAGTTTTGCACGCAAGAACAAAAGCATGCACGCACAAACAAAGCGCGAGTGATCGTGGACGCACAGGTCCTCTTGTTTTTGGATATCTGTACATAGAAGAGTAGAACTAGAGCTTTTGCAATTATTAAGGGTACCATCATAGGTGCTGCTAGTCAAGATGAAAAATTATTGGTTAGAAATTGTCACGAGAAAATAGCTTTTTTTTTTCCCTTCTTTTGTTATAGCCTGTTTGGATGTAGGGTACAAAAGGGAAGGGGAAGACAAATTTTGGTTTACCTTTGTTAAAAGAGTAGAGGAGGAACTAAAATGTTACCCCCCAAATTGTGGGGTAAAGAAGGAGAAGTGAAGGAAGGGGAAATTTTTCCTTTTCTTTTCTTCCCTTAGTCATCTCTCAAACACACCATTAGTTTTCTGCCTTCAAATGTAATAATGTTTGTGGCGTGAAGTCGGTCTTAATATAAATTATTTTCTTTCACAGTACAACATAAGTTACTGTGAACATTGTCCTCATGCATGATGTCAAGATGCTCCTTTGTTGTGCAATAGCATAAGAGAGCTAAAACGTATAAATCTACTTAAAAGCCTGTTTGGCAATCACTCAAAATTACCAGTTCCAAACCTAGTTTAATTTTTTTTTAAAAAAAATTGATTGGAAAAAATTGTGCTATTTTTAACCCAGTTTTTCTTGCACCCAAAAAAAACTATTAAACCGGTCCTATTTTGAGGCACCGCCCCCGGATTTAAAGTAGAACCAGTTAAGAGCGTCCCGATCAATAATTGTACAACTTGACAAACAAAGCCTTTAACTTGATTCACCAGAAAGCGGGTCTTTTTTTTCTCAAAAAAAAAAAAAAAGTGTCAAATTTCAAAGAGACTCTTTCTTAATAAGGGCAGGCCAACGGCTGCTCGTCACGTTTCACGCCCCCAGTCTTCATCGCATCATCTCCTTGTGGATTATAATGGATTAATGGGCTTTTGTGTCAAAACGCCCGGTCATTAGGGCCACTCTCTACGTGACACGTGGACCCAACAATGTTTGGCAGCTCATCAGGTACTCCGAGGGCTCGCAGGCCTGCCGCTTCGAAGATCATACTCGAATTTTTTGCTAGACATATATATTATAGTATATATATTATATATATATATATATATATATATATATATATATATATATATATATATATATATATATATATATTCATTCTGAGCCGTTAAATTTTTGTATCATTACTAATTAAATATCATTTAGGCTTGATTCAGTAGAAGCGGAAAGGGATAAAATTTATGGTCCTCTTTAGTAAAGGAGTTTTTAGAGGGTAAAGCGGAGTAAAGTAAATAAGGAGAGGAGAGAGAAAATATAAAATAAACTAGAACGGCGAGGTGAGATAAAATCCCTTCGATTTGGAGGGACGTAAGAGTGAGCAGAGAGAATATGCAAAATGAACTAAAAACTCATGTACCTCCTCTTACTCTCGTCCCATCTAAATAAGAACCACAAAATTAAGGTGCATCTCTCGTCGCGCACGTCATTGAAATTTACATTACCTTACCTTCCCTCGTTGTACCTCCTACGTACCGAACTAAGATTTACTTTGGTATTCAACTATATTCATTATATGTCCGCTAGGTTAGGATGGCGTGTATAGTCTATAGACAACATTCTTTGGAAGTCGCATAATGATTAATTAAAATTTTAATAATTGCAAATAAACTCTCAGAAAAACTTAAAATTTTAGAAATTGCAAATGACACCCTAATAAATTGTAAAAAACCCTAGAATTTTTCTAAATGCAAATGCACCCCTAACATTTTTCATAAATCCCCCTAGGGGAAAAGAAAGAAGGAATTAAAGCATGGTTTTTTTAGTTGGAGGTGAATGTTAACACAAATGAGTGAGAAACTAAGGGAAGTATCATGCCATTAAATGAGAGCAGAATTTTGGGAATAAATAAGGCGGTTTTGTAGTGAATAGTTTTGTATTTCAGCCCTAGGAACAATAAAAGAAGATAGAAGAAAGGAGTTAGGTCCAAACAAATGATAGAAAATAGTGAAATGGCAGTGGATGAATTAATAAAACAGATCAGAGGTCTCCACCCTTAATGCGTTTCAAATTCAGCACGTGGACGAATTAATAAATAAAACAAGCCAAAAGAGTTTACGAGTCAAAAGACCAGAGGGAATCCAATTCTATATATCCAAAGCAGTACACGGGACAGGTGCCGTACTAATGATGCGTTTTAAGTGCGGGTTTAGACAAATTATACGTTATTATTGTCCCTATGTTTCTTTTATTTAGTATAGATATAGATCGTTTCTTTCCATGTGAGATTCTGATAAGAGTCTTTGCTCCTTTTGGTTAAACAAAAAAAACCAACTTTCGTTGCCCTTAATTACCACATCCATCATCAGTTGTGAACCCTACAAATGTTTTGACAAAAGCCCAACATTTATCTGGGCCGGCCGACCAACATTTTGTGGACGGACCCAAAACCAGCTGCCGCCGCTGCAGATGGGGCCCCAAAAATCCTTCCCTCGTTGAATGTGATAATAAAGGTTGCATTTGTCTCTTGTTTGCAAGTGCAACAGCCGGATGACGGAGATTTAACTTTACGTGGGAGCTTGAATTAATGTTGGGGCCGAGGCATGACACGATCTTATGATTGAACGGTTTTTCTATAGAGTGCTCATGGGCACTCTATAAGAGAGGAGAAAGATAGAGAGAAATGAATAGCCCATGGCCTCCACTGATTTGCATTAATTTCTGTGCATAATTCATTTCTCTCTATCTCTCTCCTCTCTTATAGACTGCTCATGTGCACTCTATAGAAAAACCGTTCCATATATACTCATGTTTGAAGTGCATACGTACGCGATGGAAAGCCATGGCGACGCCCGGCTCATCAATTAATTTGTTTAGTCTTAACACGGGAAATTAGTTAATGAAGGCGCGCGCGGGGTTTTCACAAGCGAATCAAGTGGTTCAATATTATTGGTTCAGATTAAGCACCCAGCAAGCCGGAGGCACTGGCATGTAAAAAGACAAGGCACGTACGTTGGTTCAACGAAATCTTGGCCACACATATATACATATCTAACCTAATTAAAATACAAATTACCTACCGCTGAAATCTCATCACATCACGGCCAAACTTTTTAATTAACAAGGCACGTTGGTTCAACGAAACAAGCCTAGCTACAAGTTGGAAGTCCATCTTCATGACCGCATCGTTTACTTTTTAACCCCATAAAAAGGAATAACATCAAATCTACGAACCTTTCCTGATCCGAAGAAAGAAAATTAGAGCGCCAAACTCTATCGCCAGAATATTAATAACGAAGTTCCACCAAATCAAAAAGGGAGAGAAATCGAACAAATCTTGGCCATACATACCCTCAATTGTTTTTTTGACCGCATTCACATACCTACATGTTTTGATTTTTTGCAATTTGGTATCATCAATTATGGGAACGTGAGAACCTCTCCCAGAAAGTTCGGGACGCTTACATACTAATTTTAGAACGCTTTAACTCTAATAATGTGTGTTAAATATTAACGTTTAACCTATGAAAATCTTATTTTGAAATAGTACTTAGTGTAGGCTTAAAATGGAATTACAGTAGTTGTAACTATAAATAAATCTAATAAAAATAAAGGGTTAAAGTTTTCTTACATTGGCATGTACGCGTCATATGAGAGTTTTTTTTTCTTCTTCTTTTTTTGGTTGGGTGGGTGGGTGGTGGTCTCTCACATTTGCATAAACGAGGGGTGTTAAAAGTACAAATCTAAAAAAATTTAGGGTATATAAATGCTGCCGGAAACAATTGAGGTTGCTATATGAGTGCAGAGTGGGGGAAACTTTGAAGCGTAGCTAAGCCTTAATATTATTATTATTTAATTTGTCATTAGGAGGGAGTATATATAGGCATTGGCGATATCTGACCGATGAGGTACCACGTGAAGATCAACCAACCGTGTTAATTAATTGTACAGTGAAATATCTAAGCACCACTTGAATGATAACCAGCGTCATAAAAGAAGGAAAATGAACTTTTATTATCAATAGCAAATTCTGTCCATCTCTAGAGGCTTTCGGCCGCATGAATCCTGTAATCGTCTTCAACCCCTACCGATCGAAGAGGTATTTTCTAAATTCAAACAATCACTATACACTTTCAGAAACACAGGAAGTGCTTAATTATTTATGCGCCGCTAATTCATGAGACGCATACGAATCACCGAGGCATCACCAGCCTTTCCCTATGAGCCACAGCCAATCGAGCGTCACTCCTGATAACAAGCCCCCAATAAGAAACAACACGAGCAAATTCCCCAACGCGTTCTGCTCAGGCCCCTGCGGAAAAAAAAAAAAAAAAACCCAGAGAAACCCAAGTCATTTTGACAGAACCTTCAATAATCAACGGGTATCTGACGAAGTTTCCGCTAACCTTGTAGCCTTTGGGCGCTGCGGTCATAACGCACACTGTAAGATGACCGTTGGTTAACCCCAACAGCGACGTCAACATAATCATCCAACCTTGGCCAGCATACTTTGCGGTGAAGTAGAACGCCGGCACGAATAAGAAACGAGAAAGTATTGCAACCATGAGTCCTTTGCGCGATGTTATGTTTATGCATTTTATTAACGGTGTGTACCTCCCGATGAGGTCCAATATATTATACATAGCAATCAACACAAGGGCGTACCTGACGTTCACACAAAACTCAGCTAGCGCTCGGGATATTTGCAGTTCAGAAATTGAAGGAACAAGAAAATTTACCAGGAGCCTAAGCTATGCGATCCGGTGTCTTCTGACAGAAATCCGGGAAATATTGACAGTGTAAGGGCATATATCAGATACAAATCAAGTGCGTAGTCTATGTTCTGTAATATCAGTTGGGAGTTGCTTAAACGCCCTAGATTTTTTGGATCTTCTTCGGCCTGCAACATTTTAAACACAGTTATAGCACCACTTTCATTTTCCAAAGGCAACTAATTAATGTAACAAACAAAAGGAATTAGGGAGATGTAAACTTCTGGCTTTGGCCGTTCTACTCCTCCAGCAATGAGATCGGCGACAACGGTCTGTGATCCTTCTGAAGCTGCCTTGGATCGATAGTATCTCACAATTGGAAGCTTCGGAAAGACAACTGCATACAGAACAACACAAAGCAGCTCCCAAAACGCAGAGAGTCCAAAGAACAACACTGCAAGAATACAATAGTAGGATCCGTTAATGTTAAAAACGATTCAAAAGTATAATTTCACTTTTGAATGTTGCGCTTTTCACATACTAGCTCCCTTGCGAAGACCATTGTGAGAATCCTCAAAAGCTGCCTTTGTAATGAACCTTAATGCAGAGGTCATTGCGCCTGATGCAGCTAAACCAGCGAAAAAACACTGCACGTTCACAAGAAAAACATGTTATGTCTTATAAAAGATAACAACATTACAAATTAAAGGTAATCAGGAATCCATAAGATTAACAGGGTTTATTGTGGCGCATAGATGCCTGAGTGACTTTTTTTTTCATAATTGACCAAAATTAATGTAATGTAGTAACTGACCTGCATAAATTCTGGGCACATGAAAGAGAGATCACCAACCATTCCACCTTGAGCAAAAGCGTCTGCGACTCCGAATGCTGCGCTGATAGCACAAACTCCAATAAAAGGTCCAATTCCTCCTTTACCGGATGTTGCCGCATCCAACTATGAAATCAATTAATTCATACGGTCACTACTCGAGGTGTCTCGCCATCAGAAAAGACAAAGGAATGAGGTCGAAAGGTGACTTACAACGATGATCATAGATGAAGCTAGAAAGAAGAGAGAAAACCCTACTAGGTTCCGGATTCTTGTATTGATCCTCGCTTCGTGATATGTTAGTATAGCAAGGGTTACAAAGGCAAATGGTTGATAGCTAAGAGTGAGGATTCTAGTAGGGTGGTAATCCTGCCACAGAAAAGCAAAAACAGGAACAGTTCACAACTGGATCACAAAACATTAGAAGCTAGAAGATAACGCGTGTGCGGACATAGATTTCCAGAAACATAGGATGACCATAAAACGGACGAAGAGAAATTGCGTACTGGAAAGATTCTTGAGTAGTAATCCTCGATGGTCAGCATGCTGTTCCACGCGAAAAGGGATCCGTTTCCGAGAAGCCAGCAAACAGCCATTGCAGTGAGCTTTCCCTGTTAATTGATCGAGCAAGAACGATTATTCGTTGGTCAGCTCAGGCATTATTACTTAGTTTTATCAGCAGAATTGAAGCATCTATACATCTGTAAACAAGTCTCGAGAAGACAACCTCATGCCTGGCCACGGGCTCGTTCCCCGCCGTCTCGTTACCCATGATCACTTCCCTTCAGCTGCTCCTACTAACACAATCCGCTATTTTAAAAAAAAAAGGTAAAATATTACAGGACGAATTAAGCATGATGTTCCAAATTAATATAAGGATGAATTCACAGGGAAATTAAGCCCAACACCAAAAATATATATTTCCAGACAGAGATAAATAAATGCCTTTACAGAAGGGAGATGCTTAAAGAACGGACCAAGACAAAAGGTACTAATTTAGACCGCACAGATCCAATGAAACAGAAAGGAAAGAAAAATACAAAAGGGTGAGAAGGGAAGAACGTATATTTTCAATCATGCATTATTAATACAAGAAAATATTATTTTCAAACAACTGGTCGATCATTTTCCAGAGCAGAGGGGGTTCCCACAGGAGGAGATAACCCCAAAAAAAAAAAAAATCAATTGGACTGACAGGGACTAAAATCGAATAATTAGGGAACGTGTTTGCGGTGGTTGTTAAATTTATTAGGGTGGGAAAGAGAATTTTTTTTTAATTGACTCAAAAGTCATGCCAGCAAAAGTTGACCCTCTTGTATAGGAGTTGCCCCCGCATGAGGCCATCAATGCTTTAGTCACTTGGTTCAATAATAATAATAATAATAATAATATATACAAAATTCTCTCTCTCGTTCAAAAGATCACAAGCATTCATGCTTCACGAGTTAACCTACTTCTTCCTCCTCATGTATAGATAGAAAAAAATTATGGAAAATTGGTGCGCTTTCACAGGTAATATATTTCACTTGTAAAAACATGGGATAGTTGCGAAGGGGACTCAAAAGAACAATTTTTTTTTTCACAAAGGCAAAGCCCTCCAGAGCCGAATTAAACAGTGAGAAAGAACTCAAGCCACAATCACAGTTAATTCAAAAACAATAACAAAAACAAAAATAATAAAACAAAGGGAGGGAGGACAAACACGCACGAGGTACGCAATAGAAAAGGCGAAAAAGAGCACATTTTTCGAAGAGCCGGCACCAATCCAATTACAAGCCCAAGTCGATATTTAGTCCTTTCACCACAAAATTAAATGAAAACCAACAAACAAGGTGAAATTAAACCCAAAATCTGTTTTTGTGAGGGAAAACGGAGGGCCGGAAACAATTAAGGAGAACAGCATCACCAAAAACTGCTTGTGGAAACTAATTAAAGAAAACCAGCTAGCAGACGAATAAAATACACACACCCACCAAGATCTCTTCTTTTTGTGCAAAAGATGTAAAAAAAATAAAAAAAAATTCTCTGGTAGGTGAAATAAAATTACACACACCTTTTGAGATCTGGGGTCACGGAGACGGAGGAGAAGGGAGAGACTACTGCTCACAGAAGGACTCCTGAAGATCGAAACTCCAGAAATTTTCAAGCCTGCCTCTCGCAAGATTATAATTAACTTCTTCCCTCAAAACAGATTTCAACCACAGACCGGTAAGAGAAACGAGAGGAGCTCGGCGCCGATGGAAAAGGATTGGAAAACGAGTAGGGATCAGCTTTTTGAAAGTGGGTCCCGCAAAGATCAGCTACTATTCAAAGATTCTATCCAAAGACTCGTCGCGAAAGACGCAGCCCAACCCTTCACGAACCGTTTATGTGCATAAAATCCCTAAATAATTATCTATCTCCACTAGTTATTATCATTTTATGCTTAAAAGTTAAAACGCCTCTTTTCTAAACAAACAAAAAATGTTTAATTAGAATTCTTACTTGCAGTTGCAAATCCCTCTTATTTGAAACTTTCAACTTAGCACTCTTTTTTGGCTGCAAGTTGAGTCGCAACGAAAATAAACCACAAATCCATTTAAGTTGCAAGTATATGTTATCCTCTCCTAAACTACTATTTATTCATTAAAAAAATTAACTACTTTTTCTAAAAGATAATTTTTTTTCTTTCAAAATATAGAAAAATTCTCACATTTTAAGAAAAGGTTAATTATTATTTTATTAAAAATATCACTTTACTACAAAAATTATCTTTGGATAAAAAAAAATTTTCGATACAGTATTGTCACATTTGTCAAAATATAATTTTTAGAAAAAATATCTCAGTAATTGATTTCAAAAAATTAACCTTGAGGAAATATAATTGATCACTGCTGCAACATGCTGGAAATTAATAAATGCAAAAGGTCAGAGCAACGTTGAAATGCGAGCGAGAAGACATCATGATGCCAAAACAGCATAAAACTTGGAGCCGGGAAAATTAAAGAGGGAGCAAGCGGCTTTTTGCGGAGAATAACAGCAGGGCGATTTTAAGTTGAAGGGGACAGACATCCACCCGGGGGGAGCGGAGTACGGAGGTAAAATTGGAAGGAAAGTTGTCAGCTTTTTTACAGCTTTACTTCCAAAATTACCTCATCGGGGTTGGGTAACGCGCAGGGCTAGCAATCTTTCAACACGTACGTACGTTCGGCGGCTGCATCGACNAACCCTCCTTAATTTACATCGAGCCCAAGATATTAAATGGGCCAGCCCGGTTGCCGTCGCGTTCCACGAGGCAAGGGTCTCTCATCGCAGGCATTTCATGGAAACTCTTGACGGACGGGACATGACCTTCTTAATTATTAATTTCTGGAGAGGAAAACAGCTGACTGTTTAAGGCGGTACGCAACTGCCCAAGCTCGGAAGAGACACCGGCTTCGATGATGAAGGCGGGCGGCAGCAGGGCTTGAGGAAGGAAGGGGCTTGTGTCAGAGCGTAGGTTCGGTATGAAGCCAGCCCGGAAATACAACTGTTTGAGATGTCCTCCTCACGACCGATCCCAATTGCCAAATCAACTACTTTCTTAGAACAGTGCATCAGATGGAAGGAACATGACTCAGGTGCCAATTTAGACAGAGAAAAAGTTCAAAAAAAAAAAATGATTTACGTTGAAGGGTGCTCTTCTTCGAATCCACGAAGACCGGTTTTTAAATCCACCAAGGAAATAATAGAATATGAATTTTATTATTAAGAAGTATTAAAATCTACCTTAAAAGAATACTCCTATAATTGAGGAAGGAAATCACTCGATTAATTTTAAGATCAGGCTGTCAGCAGCAATTGTTGAAGAGAAAAAAAAAATTATTAAAAATTTCCGAATAGTATTGTTTTAGCTGTTTTTAACAAGCCCAAAATTCTTGAGGAAAAATCCATCCCAGAAATAACAACAGCTCCACATATAGAAGAGTGAGAGAAAAATAGAGAGGGTTTCTCCTTGTAAATAGATATTGTAACTCCCGATTTTTTTTTTCTCCTGGTGTATTCTTCAATCATCGCTCGTGGGTTTACTCTAAATTCATTTAGAGGGTTTTTCACGTAAATATGTATGTTCATTTTATTACTTTCGCTTTACTATTCGTTGGGACCCCGTTCTATTGGGCCCCGGGTTTGTCCCAACACAAACTAGGTTTGTTTCCTAATAAAAACAGACTCTAACATATTTCTAGAAAATAACATAAAACCTTATTATTTACGAAATTCTGCCAAAAATGAGAATTTTGGATGGCTCCGTCTCATGGAGATTGTTATGGTGATTTACCATCTAGAGATAAGAACGTCAAAAGATTGACTATAAAGACCCAAAAAGCCATGGTCCTGACCGGCTCAAGAAACTCAGAAGCCCGACCGAGATCAACTCTATTGACCAGTCAAGCAAGCGAGCCCTCTCTCGGCAAGAATCGTCATAACCGACTCGAAGCGCGGGACCAGTCGGTCCCCTGCAATTAAGACGATTTCCTGAGCAGACGTCTCGATGACGCTCTCGTCCCAAAACTCACTCGGTTGTCGGTCAACAAATTATAGTAATGACTCACGGATCAACGCCGCCTCGACTAAAGGGATAAGATCCGACCAAGATCATTTCAAATGTCACTCGACGCTACAGCATTGACCAGTCCCATCAAGATATACGCTCTGACAATGATCACCTGGAGGAAGAAAGATGACTCAGCAGCCTGCCTGTTCACCTTTCAAACCGTCTCTTGTGCATAGTCAACCAAAAACGAGGGTCAAACTCCCAGAGGCAAGAGGCTATAAAAGGAGGTAAGGAAGATAAGAGCAAAGGAGGCTTTGGCTACTTCTTCTTGCACCTTAGCTTTACTCTATTTTTTTGTATTTTAATAATTTCAAGAGGAAAAACTGTCAGGAATCTTGACCCCAAGATTAGTTTATTTTGATGATAACAAATATTATATGTTGTGTGTATTATGTGCTAGCATTTGTTTTACAGTATCAGAGCTATATCAACAATTATATTCAAAGAGATACTCAAGACATAGATGAGTTCAAGGCAAAATGAAGCAAAGAAGAAGATATACTTTATTATCAAAATGTAGTTTTATATTTTCTTTGCTTAGAAATTTGTATTAAGCCTTGATCACTTACACACATGCACACACATAGTGTTAGAACACACTAACACATGCTTAGTATGTTGGTTAACAATAGAAATCCTCTATACTAGCCATTAGAGTTTATAGATATTGGGTGAGTCTTAAAACATTTTATTTATACCCCTTAGTAATTAGAATCTGGAAAAACTCAAAAGATCAAAGTTGTAGGTCTCTTCAAGAGCTTTCCAACAAATCTTAAATCACCTCATTCCGATAGCGGATGAGAAAGTTACAGTCAAAATACTGAAAAAAAAAATTCCAGAATCTGAGTTTACAGTGTAGTCGACTACTATGCCTTATAATCGACTACTAAGCAATTTTCTGACTTCACAGAGTCTGTTTAGATTCAGTGTAGTCGACTACTATGACTTGTAGTCGACTACAGATGCAGTTTTTTCAGATTTTAGGTTTTGAATAAGTGATTGTTTATAGCCGTTTTGTGTACGTTTTTAGGAGTTGAAAACTTGTCTTTTCAAGGGCTATAAATAGGTTATAAGTTCAGAAATTTACACAACTAATTCATACACAAAAGATCAAATATTTGTGCATATTCACTCTCTAGTTTTCCTGGTTTTTATGCTAAGTGTTTAGAAAAAGAGAGTTTCTGATATTGCCTTGGTTTCAATCATTCTTAGAGATTGAAGAGAGTTTCTGATATTGCCTTGGTTTCAATCATTCTTAGAGATTGTATAGGCAATATTCAGAGAGTTAAAAGAATCCTAAGCCACTGCTGCACTTCACTACACATTCAAGGCTTATAGGATCAATTGTGTTCTTGCTTCAAAAAGGATTTCTCACGGGTTTGAGAGGGTTGATCTCTTGGTTTAGAGATTGGGTGGCAATTGACATGATCTTGTCAATTTGGTTTGCAATTTGTATGGTCTTGCAAATTGGTCAGGTTTGCTTATGATTTTATAAGGTTTCAAAATCATAGTGAAAACTCTCAAGCAGAATTTGCTTGGGGACTGGATGTACACCAGGGAGGTGGAACCAGTATACATGCTTGTGTTTGTGATGTTCATTTTCTGAGATTGTCATTCTTTCTTTATAATTTATAATCAACTTTACAAACTCACCCTCTAATGTTTAAGTGTAAAGCTTCCGTAGATTTTTATAAGAGCGCACTCTATTCTTAAGGGTCACGATCCTACACTTGGTATACATAAGCAAAATCAGACCCTACAAAAACCCCCTGCAAGGACCTCAATGGCCCAGGGGCCTCTCAACAAATCCTCCCCAAGTTCATCAACTGACTTGATCGTCGGAGGTACCACGCGGGAAACTAGCCCCGTATTCCTGCGATTCTTGTATGTGCAGATTATCAGTCCATCTCGCGCGCTCAGGATCAGGCATAAAGTCGGAGGAAGAGTCGGCCCCAACATTCATCCTCTCCTTCTTCCCCACCGTCATCAGGATCGAAACTGTATCCGACTACGGAAACCCCCATCGACTGTTTGTTTACGAGCATAAATAGAGAAACAATTTTTATACACCATATGTTAGATTTCTTCACTGGACCCGGAGATATTATCAATTTCTTCGCTGGCTGTTAAGTCAACAATGCAACCGTATCCACGTTCGCTTGTTGCTCCATGAGTTTGATCGTTGTGCGTCTCCTTTCACATGGAAGCCAAAGTCAATTTGTGGAACCCAAAGTACCCCAACCGTCCCAAATTCAGATTTTTCACAAACAGGACGCTCAATCCTAAACAGTCCTTCGTCTCCGTGCGTACAAGAATCGGGCAAACTTCTCAAATCATGTGCATTATTCTTGCACGTGCGTGACCAATGATTTTTTTTTTTTTCCCATTGTCCATCTGAGCAATTAATCTTGCCAAGATATCCGTAAAGAAACAAACGCACCCCGAACTGCAGAAGGTGCGATGCGGAAAGATCAACAAGTATCCGAAACTTTAGAACTAATCTTCAATTAATCGAATGATGAAACTACATACGATTTATTTATTAATCAATATAGCCCTGCTCATTTACGGCCGGATTATTGACTCTTGACTCTTGAGTATCATTGTTTCAATCGTGCTCACTCGGACGCAAACGAAAACATTGTTATAATAGTATCAGGCCTAACTGTTCGTTAATCTTATTTTGTACCAATGAAATTGCTCGGCAATAAATTT